GGAAACACAGGAGGCTTTTTATGACTTTTGCATCTTTGGAGGTAAATTTGCATCTTTTGCTGTTCTTCTGGTATGACTTTTTGTTTGTGCTCAGAAAAGCATGAGTGCAGTGCCAGAGTTCCACTTAGCTCCTAACCATGACTCCAATAGCTGGTAGGAACTGCATGCTTCCCTGTGGAAGATATTACAGAAACCTGGTTGGTAGAGAGAGGACACATTAAAGATTCTATACCGCTGGTCTCACGCTAAAGCAAGAAAACTATTAGAAGGTCACTGATCAGTGTGTTTGTGAAACTGCTTTGTCTAAGAAACTGCAAGGCCGAATTGTCTGCTGTGAAGCTGTATTGTTTAAGAAACTGCATACGTGATAGAAAAATTAGAGCGACAGGATGGGAAAGGTAGAGAAAGTAGCAAATAGTAAATAAAGTAACTATAGCCATGAGAAAGAGGCAGCATTTGCGCAAATATAACTTAGGTAATTAAGAGCCAATGATGAGCTTGTATTTGGAATATTAATGAGCCCAATTATTAACCTTTATAAGCATGGAGCTTACAGCAATAAAGTTGGATTAGTCATGATCAATACTGTGATCGTGTGATACTTTCCCGTCGTCCACAACAAATGGTGACCCCGACGTGATAATTTAAAGAAACGGGGGAATCCACAGTTGGGATGGCATAGTGTCGGAGCCTTAGCAGCGAGGCTGGTCAAAAAGTCAAATTGAGGAGTGACTTGGACCTGGAACTGGTCAAAAAGTCAGCAGAATTTGCGACTTCGGACCCGGATCAAAAAGTGGGCAACTGCAACTTCAGATCCTTAAAGCGTCACTTGGGACGAGCTCCACCGTACGTGCTGCCGGACCCTGGAGGCTGCAAGAGCGCGCTAAAAATAGGTAAAAAATGGAAAGGGAAGCAGCATATAGTTTATTTTCTGAATTTTTGCAGAAAAAAGGTATTAAAGATATAGATTTAAAAAAGGAATTACCAGGATTGCTTGCTTTTGGGTATGCAAAAGGGTGTTTTATCAACCCGCATACCGTGCATTCTTTAGAAGAGTGGCGAAAGTTTGGAGATAAAATATGTGAGGCCATTCTAGAAGAGGATAAAGTTGCAAAAAAGCTGGGAAAGTTTTGGAAAGTTGTGAATGATACATTGTTACAACATGAGGCAGAGAAACGAGCTGCTGAGCAAGCTCGAGGTATGCAGCAACACAACAGAGACTGGTTCTCTATTTCCCCGACTCCCCCTGCATTTCAATCAGTTATGCTCCCAGCACAGCCGTCTGCCCCCCCTCCTAATGAAAATACGGCTCCCCCTTCTGCAACCCCTCCTGACCCTCCTGCCCCTGCAGAACCTTTAAGCAATAACGCTGATCCATTGCTGGAGCCACCAGCACCCCCTCCTCCTGCTTTAGATGCTGTGATGCCTGTCCCTGGGGCAAGCACTGACCCGGCGGGGGCCATAGCCAAGGAGAGGAGAGATACATGGGCAGCGATTGCTAAACATTGCCTGTCAGAAGAATTGCAGGGGGCAGAGGGCATGGCATTTCCAGTTATTTATAATCAAATGCCAGGGGGAAGGCTAAATGCCACTATAACTCCATTAGATTGGAAACTTTTGGCACAACTGCGGAGCACTGTAAGTGAATTTGGTTTGCATGGAGAACCTGTTAAACAAATGTTAGATTATTTCTGGGCCACTCAACTTTTACTACCCTCAGATCTCCGTTCCATTTCGAGAATGATACTTACAGAACATCAGCAACTTTTGTTTAATGCTTATTGGTAAGCATATGTTAATGAAAGTGTTGCTGTGATCAGGCAACCGGGGGATCCTTTACACGGCGTTACAGCAGACGAACTAATGGGAACAGGTCCATATTCACGAACCGAAGCACAAGTACACATTGGGGCAGATAAAATTAGAGAGGCCATGGACCTTGTAAGGAAAGCATTAAATAGAGTCAAGGAGCCAGGGGGAGTGCCATTATATATGAGCTTAAAACAGGGAAGGAATGAATCTTTTGGTGAATATGTTGACAAGTTAACAGCTGCTATCAAAAAGCTGGGGTCCCAGATTATATGAAGGGGACCATGCTAAAGCAGTGTGTTTTGCAAAATGCTAACTCAATAGTTAAACAAGTAATAAATACATTGGGTCCTTATTGGACTATAGAAGAATTATTAGACAAAGTATTGCAAATACCAACAGGAGAGAATGCATTTTTAGTCAATGCTATTCAGGATTTTACTAAAGGGCTTAAAGAACAGACTCAGGACTTAGTTAAGGAGCTTAAAGAACAAGCTCAAAATTCCCAAATTCAAGTGTTAGCAGCTCTTGCACCCCTCCAGAGAAAGGCTAATAACTCCACAGATGGAAAAACTCGATCAAAGTGTTATCGATGCGGAGCTACTGGACACTTCAGAAGGGAGTGCCGCTTTTACTAATACTGCTGGCTGCTTTATGCATTGTTCCTTGTGCTTTTAAATGCATTCAAAGCATGCTAACAAAGGCAATGAGTGACGTGTTTTTAACATTGTCTAAACAGAGCGGGGGAAGTGTGGAAGATATTACAGAAACCTGGTTGGTAGAGAGAGGACACATTAAAGATTCTATACCGCTGGTCTCACGCTAAAGCAAGAAAACTATTAGAAGGTCACTGATCAGTGTGTTTGTGAAACTGCTTTGTTTAAGAAACTGCAAGGCTGCATTGTCTGCTGTGAAGCTGTATTGTTTAAGAAACTGCATACGTGATAGAAAAATTAGAGCAACAGGATGGGAAAGGTAGAGAAAGTAGCAAATAGTAAATAAAGTAACTATAGCCATGAGAAAGAGGCAGCATTTGCGCAAATATAACTTAGGTAATTGGGAGCCAATGATGAGCTTGTATTTGGAATATTAATGAGCCTAATTATTAACCTTTATAAGCATGGAGCTTACAGCAATAAAGTTGGATTAGTCATGATCAATACTGTGATCGTGTGATACTTTCCCATCGTCCACAACACTTCCCTGGTGCTGTTATTGCTCTAGTTACTCATATCCTAGAAAGGGGTGTGTTGCTGTGGATATTTGGCATTTTTGCAATAGTTCAAGATTGCAAATCAGGCTTTTTGAGCAATAGACACTGAGCTTACACAAGATTTTCAGAAATGTCTGAAGGTGCAGAATCTGACTAGATGCACAACTTTTCCTTGTGGATTTGCCATATAAGTAATAACTCTTATATGGATCATGAGTGTTCCTAAATATTATCGCAGGTTACGGGATTTTGCTTTGGAATGTCTTTTTGTTCAGAGGGGGAGCCAGATGAGCAATTCTGTTGCACAGAAAGTTTGGGGAGTCTCTGTAGAGACAAAATCATGTTTTTCTATGCTCTGGATTTGTGGCAGTGTGTGGGGCAAGGCTTTTCGTGGTATGGGGAAAGCTGGCATTTGCCTGCCGCATTTCTCCATCTTAGGAATGAATTTTGTCTTTCCAACAGAGGTCTCGTGCACTACTGAACAAAATCCCAACAGTTTCCCAGTGCTTGTTATTTCTTCTGGGTTGTTATTTCTTCTGTTTTTCCACATTTTCCTCGAGTAAAGTCCCTTAATTTTGAATTTACGATTGCTGAGAGAGAGGAGTTTGGTCTACCTCGTAACTCATCCTCTTTAGCAAACATTCCAGTCTCATCAGATTGAGACAGTTTGGAAGGATTTCCTAGAACTTGGTTGGATTTCAGGGGGTTTTGAAGGACTTGCATGGATTTTCAGGGTTTTTTTACAGGATTTGGGCAGATTTTCCTGGATTTGGGGCAGTTTCGGGGGATGTTTTGGTGCTTTGCTCACCGTACTCTGGAGCACAGGTTGCTCTCCCGCCGTTCGCGCTCCCTGAGCTCTCTGTGGAGGTTCTCCCAGGTCTCCTTGAGCTCCCTCTGGAGCTGCTCCTGGGACTCCTGGAGCTCCCTCTGGAGCTGCTCCCGGGACTCCTTGAGCTCCCTCTGGAGTTGCTCCCGGGACTCCTTGAGCTCCCTCTGGAGCTGCTCCCGGGACTCCTTGAGCTCCCTCTGGAGTTGCTCCTGGGACTCCAGGTGAGTGGAGCAAAGCACCGAAACATCCCCTGAAACAGCCCCAAATCCAGCAAAATCCGCCCAAATCCCATAAAAAACGCCATCAAAATCCATCTGTCCTTTAAAATCCCCCTGAAATCCGCCCAAATCCTTTAAAAAACCCTCTCAAAATCCATCCAAATCCTTCCAAATCCCCCTGAAATCCACTCAAAATCCCAGAAAATTCTTCACAACTGAGCTGAAATCCATTGAAATGGAGCAAAATCCTTCCAAATCCATCCAAATCCTTTAGAATCGCCCTGAAATCCAACCCAATCGCTGCCACCCTCAGATTTTCCTGCCTTTTTTCTCCACTTTGGCGCCCCCTGGTGGATTCCGCACCACAAAGCACCAAAACGGCTCCGGATTATCCTGATTTTTTTTCTCCCCTCCCCGTAAGTGTGAGGGGGGGAAAAGAGACTATTTTTGAGGGAAAAAATTACATTCTTGAGGGGGAAAAAAATGATGCTTTTTAGAGGAAAAAAATGACATTTTTGAGGGGGAAAAATGATGTTTTTGTGGGGGGAAAAAATATTTTTGAGGGCGAAAAGGGATTTTTGAGGTGAAAAAGGGATTTTTGAGGTGAAAAAACAACATTTTTGAGGGGAAACCTCCCTAAGATCCTGCTTTATGGTGAACTTGCCACCGGCTGCCGCAAGAGAGGAGCCCCGAAGAGGAGATACAAGGACTGCCTGAAACAACATCTCAACCCTGGCCATATCGATCATCATAACTGGTCTGCTCTGGCCTCCAATCGGGAGGTCTGGAGACACCCCATCTATAACGCTGCTGATGCCTTTGAGAGCGCACGCAGGATCACCCTTGAGGAGAAAAGACAACGAAAGAATCGTGCCTTGCAGAATTTACCACCTAAGGAGTCTTTCTGCTGTGCCTTTTGCAACCCATCTTGTCTATCTCGTATTGGCCTCTTTAGCCACCAGCGTGCTTGTAGCAAATGTGGGTAGAGCCCTTCCCAAATCTTTGTTGGTGAAGCCCAGCCACGAATACGAAAGGGCTGTTATTTCTTCTTTTCTTCCACACTTCCTCGATTAAAGCCCCCTTAAGTTTTGAATTTACAGTTGCTGAGAGAGAGAGAGTTTGGTCCGTCTCATAACTCATCCTCTTTAACAAACATTCCAGTTTCTTCAAACTGAGACAAATCCCTATAGCCTCGCTCTGGAACGTCACAGAACAAAGGGAGCTCCAAGGAAATGTCCCGAAAGGCGGGAATGGGACTCGGGGAATTGTTGCAGCTGCTCCTCGACGACTCCAGGAGCAGAGGGCCGCGAGCAGAGCTGGATCCTCCTGTGCTGGGCTGCAGAGAACTTCCCAGGAGAAGCTGTGTGGAGGTGGCACAGCCCAGAGCGGGAGAGCTGCAGGCACGGAGCATTCCCTGGGTTTTTGCTCTGTATTCCAAGGCTGGAGCAGGGATCACTGCAGGGAGCAATCCTGAGGCTCCTCCAAGGATGTCGCTGCTCACCTGCGAGGGACGTGAGGAGGGACAGCTGTGAGTTGTACCTGTGTTTGGATGATGGCAAACATTTCCAACTGGGGGGACATTGGGGGACACTGGGGACATTGGGGGACATTGGGGGGACATTGGGGGGACATTGGGGGGACATTTGGGGACATTGGGGACATTGGGGGACATTGGGGGACATTGGGGTGGGGACATTGGGGGACATTGGGGGGATATTGGGGGGACATTGGGGGAACATTGGGGCAGATTGGGGGGACATTCGGGACAATGGGGGGACATTGGGGGACATTGGGGACATTGGGGGGACATTTGGGACAATGGGGGGACATGGGGGGACATTGGGGACATTGGGGGGACATTGAGGACATTGGGGGGACATTGGAGGGATATTGGGGGAACATTGGGGCAGATTGGGGGGACATTCGGGACAATGTGGGGACATTGGGGACATTGGGGGGACATTGAGGACATTGGGGGGACATTGGAGGGATATTGGGGGAACATTGGGGCAGATTGGGGGGACATTCGGGACAATGTGGGGACATTGGGGACATTGGGGGACATTGGGGACATTGGGGGGACACTGGGGGGACATTGGGGACATTAGGGGAACATTGGGGCAGGTTGGGGGGACTTTGGGGGGACATTGGGGGGACATTGGAGGACATTGGGGGGACATTGGGGACATTGGGGACATTGGGAAAAGGGACATTTTTGAGGGGAAAAAACATTTTTGAGGGGAAAAAGGGCCATTTTTGAGAGGAGAAAAAAAGGATTTTTGAGGGGGAAAAAATGATACTTTTGAAAAGGAAAAAAAGACATTTTTGAGGGGAAAAACAACGTTTTTGCAGGGGGAAAAAGGGATTTTTGAGGGGAAAACCCAACATTTTTGAGGGGGGAAAACTGGGATTTTTGAGGGGAAAAAGGGCCATTTTTGAGAGGGAAAAAAGGGATTTTTGAGGGAAAAAATGACATTTTTGAAGGTAAAAAAGGGATTTTTGAGGGGAAAAAGGGCATTTTTGGGTGCAGCCCTTCTCACCTCGTCGGGCTGGCTGACAATGAGTGTTGTGGAGTTCTGCGGGGAGAAGTGCAGGTGGTGCAGCCCCCGCTGCCGCTCCGACTCCTCCGGCAGCACGGACCGCACACGGCAGAACACGGGGATGTTGTCCTGGAAAACGGGGAAAAAAATAGGATTTAGGGAAAGTTTAGGGGGGGTTCCCCTCATAAAATACCCCCCTCTGCCCCGGACCCACTTTGGGCTCCTGGGTGTCATTGTGGAGGCGGCGTCGCTCCATCTCCAGATGGTGGATCTGTTCTTCCTGCTGATCCCGGAGGGATTTTTGCAATCTTTGCACCTCCTGGAGAGCGGCCATCCGGTCCTTCTGCAGGTGGAGATGGTCCTCGACCCGCCGCCGATGAGCCTGGGGAGGAACGGGGGGGAAATGGCACCAAAAGGGAAAAAACCAGCGGAATCAGAGCAAAATTCCCAAGGTTTTCCTGACTTTTCCCAAATTTTGAGGTGCCACAAAGCAGATTTTGATGCCAAAATGGCAGAATGGGTAAAAAAGTGCCATTTTTTCCAGATTTTTGAGGCACCTCCTGAGGGATTTTGATGCCAAAAGCAGCACAATTGGTGAAAATTCCAAATTTTTTTCTCGGTTTTTCCGCATCCTCGGAGGGATTTTTGGCCGAAAAATCATGAAATTGGTAAAAATTCCCATTTTTTGAGAATTTTGAGGTGCCCCTCCAAGGGATTTTGGGTGGAAAATTCCCTTTTTTTCTTCCTTTCCCAAATTCTGCGGCGCTCCCTGAGAGATTTCAATGCCACAAAGCTCAAAATCGGTGCAACCCCCCATTGTCCCACCTTTTTTTTTTTGGTACCACTGGTGGATTTCGGGCACAAAACCGCCAGACCTGGTGCAAATTCCTCATTTTTCCCAATCTTTCCCGATTTTTTGGGATGGGCTTTTGATGCCAAAAAGAAAGCCGAAATCAGAACAAATCCCCCATTTTTTCCCCATTTTTCCCAAATTCTGAGGTGTTTTCGGTTCAAAAACCAGCAACACTGGTGCGAATTCCCATTTCTTGCCTTTTTTCCTTGACTCTTCCCATGTTTTCGGGCCCCCCATGAGGAATTTTGGGCTCAAAAGATCGGGAATTGCTGCCACCCTCAGATTTTCCCGCCTTTTTTTTCCTCCGCGTTGGCGCCCCCTGGCGGATTTCGCCCCACAAAGCACCCAAACGGCTCCGGATTTCCCCGGTATTTTCCCCGTAAGTTTTTGGGAATTCCAGGCCCCCCGCCAACCTCTGTGTTCTCCGAGATGTTTGAGAGCTCTTCCTCACGAGCTCTGGTCTCATTCTGTCGCTGCTCCTCCTCCCGCAGACGCCGCTCCAGTTCCGACTCCAGGGAGCTGCGGGAAAGTCCCAGAATTTCTCCCTGAATCCTCCCCAAATTCCCATCAAACCTCTTCCCAAAGCCCCCCCCCAAAAGTCCCGAACCCCCCGGAATTCCCAGCTCCCCCTTAGAATTCCAAAATTCTTCCCAAATCCTCCCTCTGATCCCCCAAATGCCCTGAATTTTCCTGAATTTCCCCCTGAATTTTCCTGAATTTCCCCCTGAATTCCCACCAAATCCCCACCAAATCCCTTCCCAAACCCCCCTCAGAATTCCCAAATCCTCCCTCTGACCCCCCAAATGCCTGGAATTTCCCCCTGAATCCCCCCAGATTCCATGGATTTCCCCCCAAATTCCCTGGGTGTCTCTGAATTTCCACCCAAATGCCCCCAAATCTCCTGAATTTCCCCCCAAATTGGAATTCCCAAACCTCGAGGGGCTTGGGGGATTTGAAGGCAATTTGGAGGGAATTGATGCGATTTTGGAGGGGGCTTTGTGGGGAATTGGGGAATTTGTCAAATGGTTTTGGGGAATTTCTGTGGGGATCCTTGAGAGAGTCTCAGAAAATTCCCATGTTGAGGGATTTTGAGGAAATCTCTGGAATTTGGGGCGATTTGGGGAAATTGTGGAGAAGTTGGAGGGAATTGGGGAATTTTTGGAAGGTTTTTGGGGGAAATTCTGTGGGATCTTGAGGGGTTTGGGGTTGACTTGCGTGGACTTGAGGTCAATTTTTGTGGATTTTCAGAAGGTTTTGAGGGATTCTTGATGGAATTTGAGGGGGTTTGGGGGGATTTCAGGGGAATTTTGGTGGTTCCCTCACCCCACTCGGAGGCAGCTTTCCCACAACTCCGGTTGGAGGGGAATTTTCAGTGGATCTTTGACAGATTTGGAGTGGGTTTGGAAGGATTTTTGCTCCATTTCAATGGATTTCAGATCAGTTCTGAAGGATTTCCTGAGATTTTGAGTGGATTTCAGGGGGATTTATAGAGACTTGGATGGATTTTGATGGCGTTTTTTACAGGATTTGGGCAGATTTTGCTGGATTTGGGGCAGTTTTGGGGGATGTTTCGGTGCTTTGCTCACCGTACTCTGGAGCTCAGGGTGCTCTCTCTCCTCTCCCGCTCCCTGAGCTCCTGATGTAGAGTCTCTGTGGACTCCTTGAGCTGCTCCCTGGACTCCTGAAGTAGCTGGTTCTTTTGCTCCAAGCTACGTTTTTCTCTCTGGACCTTCCGGAGTCGCTTCTGGGCCTGGCGCAGCTTTTCCCGGAGCTCCCACATCTGCACCCAGAAGTCCCAGGGCAAGGGTTTGGGGGGGCACAGGGGGCTCCTGGGGGGACACCTGGGGTTGGGGACATCAGGAACGGGGTTTGGGGACAGTGAGGAGGGGTTTGGGGGCATCAGAGATGGGTTTGGGGGCATCAGAGAGTGGTTTGGGGACACCGTGGGGGTCTCAGGCCTCACCCGCTCCTGGTGCAGCTGCAACCGATGTCTTCTGCGGGGTACCTGGGGGACAGGGGACATTTGGGGGAATTTGGGGACATATGGGGGGTTTTTCAGGTCCTACCTGCAGTCGTAGGACTGTGTATATTCTGGGGGGTACCGGGGGGAGAGGGGACATTTTGGGGAGGCTGAACTCCCTCTGGAGCTGCTCCCGGGACTCCTTGAGCTCCCTCTGGAACTGCTCCCTGTACTCCTTGAGCATCTGGTTCTGCCTTTCCAGGCCCCGTTTCTCTCTCTGCAGCTTCCGGAGCTGCTTCAGGGCCTGGTCCAGCTTGTCCCGGAGCTCCCGTGACTGCGCCCACAGGATGAGGCCAGAGCTTGGGAGCGAACGCTGTTGGAAACCTGGAAAACGCAGAGGTTTGCGGGGGGAGGGGAGAAAAAAAATTGGGATAGTCCGGAGCCAGTTCCTCCCTGATGTCCCCGAACCCCTCCTCACTGTCCCCAAACCCCGTTCCTGATGTCCCCAACCCCGGGTGTCCCCCCAGGAGCCCCCCGTGCCCCCCCCAAACGCTTGCCCTGGGACCTGTGGCTGCAGTCGCAGGAGCTCCGGGACAAGCTGGTCCAAGCCTGGGAGTGGCTCCGGAAGGTGCAAACAGAGAAACGGGGCCTGGAGTGTGAGAATTGGGAGCTCAACAAGTGCTGGGAGCAGCTCCAGAGGGAGCTCAAGGAGTCCCAGGAGTAGCTCCAGAGGGAGCTCAAGGAGTGTCAGGAGCAGCTCCAGAGGGAGTTCAAGGAGTCCCCGGAGCAGATCCAGATATAGAGGATTGGCTAGAAATGCGAGGACATATGAACATGGCTAAGGCTATGGATGAGCTGCTAAAGTATAAGACGCAGTCTGACTAGGCCCATGAGAAAGTCTGAGATAGCAGGGCGGTGAGAAAGCGGCAGCGTCCTTGGGTATTCTAAATTGAGCTGAAAAACAGGAGCTAGGCATTACCAAAACAAAGACACTTAACGAGCCACCTGTGTAAACAATGGAAAGCAGTTAAGATGATATCACCACCTAACTGAGTACCAGTAATGAGCCTAATCTTTGTAATATTCATGAACCTATTATAGAGTGTATATTAAGCTGCTGTCAATCTACAATAAACGAAGTTCCTGGATTCTCACATTGAGGTGTCTAGAGCTTTCCGTTGCGACATCCAGAGGGAGCTCAAGGAGTCCCGGGAGCAGCTCCAGAGGGAGCTCGAGGAGTCCCAGGAGCAGCTCCAGAGGGAGCTCAAGGAGTCCCGGGAGCAGCTCCAGAGGGAGCTCAAGGAGTCCCGGGAGCAGCTCCAGAGGGAGCTCAAGGAGTCCTGGGAGCAGCTCCAGAAAACCTTTGGAAAACCGGTACTAAAACCGCCTCAGTCAGTCTGAAAGCCTGGGAATTCGGCCTCCCCACCCCCAAAATCCCCCCCAGAATTCCCAAAATCCCCCAAATCCCCCTCCCCCACCCTTAAAATTCCCTCCCCTGGAACTCCCAAAACTGGCAGAAAACCAGGACTAAAACCGCCTCAGTCATCCCGACATCCTGGGAATTCCGGCCCCTAAAAATCTCAGAATCCCAGGTTTGGGGTTTTTTTGGGAATTACCTCCCAACCTTTCCCCTTCAGGTCGTGGGTGCTCTGGAAGAGGTGTCGGACGGCCCTCGGGATCATCCCGCGGGATTCGGGATCTCCGGGCGGTTCCAGTCCTTCCATGGTGAATGTCTTCCCACTTCCAGTCTGCCCGTAGGCGAAGATGCAGACGGGATACCCATCCAGGGCAGACTGGGAATGGGAATGCACGGAATGCTGAGAGGAGTGGGAATTCTGGGAAATAAATAGGAATTTGGGGGGAAAAAAAGGATTTGGGGGGGAAAAGGGGATGTTTTGGAGGAAAAGGGGGAGTTGGAGGGGTGGAAAAAAGAGGGGCAGAGGCAAAAAAGGACATTTTTGCCCAAAAAAGGCCTTTTTCTGCTGCAAAAGGACTTGGTTGGATTTCAGGGGGTTTTGAAGGACTTGCATGGATTTTCAGGGATTTTTTAAGGGATTGGGTAGATTTTGCTGGATTCTGGGCAGTTTTGGGGGATGTTTTGGTGCTTTGCTCACCGCACTCTGGAGATGACGTCACTCTCCTGCTGTTTCCACTCCTTGAGCTCCCTCTGGAGCTGCTCCTGGCACACACAGAGCTCCCTTTGGAGTTGCTCCTGAGGGAGCTCAGAGAGTGCCAGGAGCAGCTCCAGAGGGAGCTCAGAGAGTGCCGGGAGCAGCTCCAGAGGGAGCTCAAGGAGTCCCGGGAGCAGATCCAGAAGGAGCTGAAGGAGTCCCGGGAGCAGCTCCAGAGGGAGCTCCTGGAGTCCCTGGAGCAGCTCCAGAGGGAGCTCAAGGAGTCCTGGGAGCAGCTCCAGAGGGAGTTCAAGGAGTCCCAGGAGCAGCTCCAGAGGGAGCTCAAGGAGTCCCGGGAGCAGCTCCAGAGGGAGCTCAGTGAGCGCCGGATTGAGTCAGACAACGGGACTCATTTCAAGAACAGCCACTTGGGCACAGGAGCATGGGATTGAATGGGTCTATCACATTCCATATCTGGCACCTGCTGCAGGAAAAGTAGAAAGGTGTAATGGACTGTTGAAGACAACCCTAAAGGCACTAGGTGAGGGAACTTACAAAAATTGGGATAAGAACTTAGCCAAGGCCACCTGGCTCGTCAACACTAGAGGCTCTGTCAACCGAGCTGGTCCTGTCCAAGCAGAATCCCTCCACACTGGAGATGGAGACAAAGTTCCAGCCATCCATCTCAAAGGTATGTTAGGTAAGGCCCTTTGGATCACTCCTCCCTCAGGCCAAGACAAACCCAGTCGTGGGATTGGTTTTGCTCAAGGGCCCAGAAATACCTGGTGGGTTATGAGGAAGGATGGAGAGATCCAATGTGTCCCTCAAGGAAACCCAGCCCTGGGGAAAAACTAATTCTGTGCCCTAAGTTGTGTTTTACAGGAGACCAGACACCAGATGGAAAAGACCCGAACAAAGCGATACCGGTATCCAAGGATGTCCGATGATGAGACAGCCCTAAACCCCCAAATTTCCCTCAAAATCCTCCCTGAATCCAAAAATTCTCCCCTGAATCCCCAAATTCCTCCCTGAATCCCAAATTTCCCCTCCCCAGGGGGAGAGGGGAAATTGGAGACATGTTAGTAACCATTTTCCCCCTGGAGGAGAATTTTGGGGAATCCATCAATTCCCTGTGCTTCGCCAGCAAGGTGGGAGTGGGATTTGGGGGGATTTGGGGGAACATGAGGGATTTGGGGGGGAATCGGGGGGACATCAGGGATTTGGGGGAACATGAGGGATTTGAGAAGACATGAGGGATTTGGGGGGATTTGGGGGAACATGAGGGATTTGAGGGGATTTGGGGGAATGAGGGATTTGGGGGGAAGTTGGGGGGGTATGAGGGATTTGGGGGGGTTTGGGGGTCTCTGCTGGATTTTGGGGGGTCACAGGAGGGTTTGGGGGGTCCTGGGGGAGTTTTCGGGGGGATCTGAGGAGGTTTGGAACATGTCACAGGACAAAGGGAGCTCCAAGGAAACGTCCCGAAAGGCGGGAATGGGACTCGGGGAATTGTTGCAGCTGCTCCTCGACGACTCCAGGAGCAGAGGGCCGCGAGCAGAGCTGGATCCTCCTGTGCTGGGCTGCAGAGAACTTCCCAGGAGAAGCTGTGTGGAGGTGGCACAGCCCAGAGCGGGAGAGCTGCAGGCACGGAGCATTCCCTGGGTTTTTGCTCTGTATTCCAAGGCTGGAGCAGGGATCACTGCAGGGAGCAATCCTGAGGCTCCTCCAAGGCTGTCGCTGCTGACCTGCGAGGGACGTGAGGAGGGACAGCTGTGAGTTGTACCTGTGTTTGGATGATGGCAAACATTTCCAACTGGGGGGACATTGGGGACATTGGGGACATTGGGGGGATATTGAGGGGACATTGGGGGGACATTGGGGGACATTGGGGGACATTGGGGGGACATTGGGGGGACATAGGAGGGACATTGGAGGGACATTGGGGGGACATTGGGGACATTGGGGACATTGGGGGGACATTGGGGACATTGGGGACACATTGGGGACACATTGGGGACATTGGGGAACATTGGTGGGACCTGGGGGGGACATTGGTGGACATTGGGGACATCGGGGAGGAACATCGGGGGGACATTCGGTGGGGACATCGGGGGGACATTGGGGACATGGGGGGACATTGGGGGACATTGGGGACACCTTGGGGACATTGGGGACATCGGAGGACCTTGGGGACATAGGAGGGACATTGGAGGGACATTGGGGGGACATTGGGGACATTGGGGACATTGGGGGGACATTGGGGACATTGGGGACACATTGGGGACACATTGGGGACATTGGGGGGGTCAGGGGTCATTTTCAGGGGGTCAAAGGTCACCTGCTGGTAGGTGTTGGTGGCAATGATTGGCCGCAGGATGGGGGGCGGGGCCAGCGGGTCCCCAGGGGCGGGGCCTGGAGCCCCCAAAACCTCCTGCTCGAACCTGGGGGGGGAGGGGCACCGGTGACACCCCCCCAGTGACACCAGTGACCCTCCCAGTGCTCCCAGTAACACCCCAGTGACCCCCCAGCACCCTCCCAGTGCTCCCAGTAACACCCCAGTGACCCCCAGCACCCTCCCAGTGCTCCCAGTAACACCCCAGTGACCCCCCAGCACCCTCCCAGTGCTCCCAGTGACACCCAGTGACCCCCCAGCACCCTCCCAGTGCTCCCAGTAACACCCAGGGCCCTCCCAATAACACCCCCATCACCAAGCCCCTGGCCCCGCCCACATGGCCACTGGGAAACCAAGCACCGCCCACCCCAACCCCTTAGACCCCTCCCCTGTTGCCATAGGAAACCAAACTCCTCCCACTGCCCCAAACCCCACCCCATTGCCATGGACACCCTTAAACCCCGCCCACTGCCCCAAGTCCCACCCACTGTCGCCATTAACCTCCAAGCCCCGCCCACAATCATTAACACCCCAAAGCTCCTCCTGCCTCTAAGCCCCACCCACCAGAGCGACCCCACCTCTGTTGCCATGGCCACACTCAGGCTCCACCCACTGCCCAAGCTCCGCCCCCGTTGCCATGGCCACCCCAAGCCCCGCCCCCGTTCCCATGGCACTCC